TTTTTCGTCAGTAATAATATGCACCTTGTTCGCCGATTGAAAATAGCTTTGAGTACATTTATCTCCGGTAAAGCCCATTCTTACATCCATCTGTACATATACCGTTGTTTCTATCACATTTAAGATCTTTACATCCACTAGGACAAAGATTTATCACAGGTATTGCCCCAAAATGCTTGTTTACATCCGTTTAAACAATACCCGTCTGCATGTTCACATGTATGTTTACCACTTTGTACTATACATGCCGTGTTGCAGGCTAAACTGCAATTGGTTGAGTAAAAATTACTTTTACATAGTAGACAGCTATTTCCGTTCTCTTTTGAGCACTTTAAACACTTGCTGTTACATTGTGTTGAACATGTCTCACCAGACCAGCCGTCATTACATTCCCCTTGACATAGTCCACTACTATCACAATACGCAGAACATCCTTTAGAGCATAATGATGTGTGTGGTTCGCATGTTTTACCATTGAATATTTGTCCTTCTGGACAATCAGCGCAGACTAACGAATCATTGCGTATTTGACACTGGTTACAACCTTGAATAACACAATCCGGACATTGCGTGTCTTGGAAACATGACACACAGTGAACATTGTCATTATACTTATAGAGGTGAAAACCATTATTGCAAATATAACATGTTCTTGCATCCGTACATTGCTTGCAATTTGACGGACAAGGTTGACATATTGTTTCGACACCAGCTGTAAGCTCATAATATCCATCTCTACAACCACTCGAGCAAATACGTAAATCACAACGTTCATTTTCACATAAACTACAATTGTGTTGACAATTATGTCCATAGAAACCAGGCTGACATTGATAACAATATCCCGTATCATCTTGACAGTCATTATTTAGACAATTACCATAACAGTTGAAAGTACATCGTGCGTGCAAACCATACGTTTTGGGCTTACATGAAGTACACTTATCCCAGTTCGTACAAGTTTCACAATCTGGAGGACATTGTGAACAGAAGTCATTTAATAAAAAGTAAGATTCTTCACAACTTGTGCAAGTTGAATCAGAGCATGATTGGCAGCCAACATTACATTCTGTAAATATGAATATTTTTGCTAATTTACATATTCCTCTAGAATATATTTCCACATTTACAATGTAACGAACTTTTAATATGCTAAGTCATATTTATTATAAAAATATGTAATTCTTAATTTGATCACAAAAAGAAAACAATAACAACATAGGATTAATAATAAAATAAAAAAATGTATACATTTAATAGATGCAATCATGAATAACGTGTTTTAACAGAAATTCACATATCTATAGTCTTAGAGTACAAATTAAAATAAAATAACTTACCAGTAAATACCATATCGACAATCAATACTACTATAAATGCTGACGTTTCCTTAAGCAACATTATTCCGAATTCATATATGCAAATCTAAAAGTGAGAATTTTGTATATAGATAATACATGTAATAATGTAATCCACACACGGGGCTACAGATGTTTTAGCGTAACTATTTTTAGTTTAATTATTATTTAATTATTCTTCTTTTTGTGTTATCTTTACCTCAAAACTCAGTCTAGTATTAAAGGTTTGTATTTTGTATGCGTGATTTGTAGTCATTACAATAAAATGTATAGACGTATCAAATGTATCATGCAAAGTTTTAAAGGTACAAAAACAAATTAAGCTTAAATAAAAAGAAACGAGACATATTATTATATTTAAATTTAAAAGAGTAACTATAATATCCGTTATTCCTGTTTAAAAAAGCGAAAATAAAGAAATTAAGAAATATCACTAAACATTCACTAAACCGAACAAGTTATAATTTATAAATACCTGATAAATAACTACTAAATAAACCGGTTAAAAACTTCCTCTTTAAATTATGTACGGTATGCATCAGTGACTCCCTTTAAAAGATTATTTTTAGAGTCAAAACTGTTCGGATTGATTCAGTCAAAATAGAACAAAATCGTTTTTGATTAATAAACTATATAAACTCTATTATCTTCTTTGCAAAGAACAAGTCTTAAATCATGCCTATTTATGTGAATAATAATTAACTTTAAGAAAATGTAAAATGTATCAGAGTATCAGACATGTAATTAAAGTACTTTAAATATAAAACATACTTACAAAAGGTGGTAACATTGAAACTTCCTATATTCACAAATAAGCCCTCATGAATTCCAGATTTAAACTGAAAATATTGACGCATGAAAAATAAGTTGAAATTCCCCATGAATTAAATTTTATGATTAATTTGTTAATATTGATCATGAACTATTACAATTTCTACAGTTTTATGAAAATTAAATCCTTTCATAGAAATTTCTAATTTTTTTTGTATGATAAGTAAAATTTAAGGCGAATTCAAAAATAAAAATAAAAATATATGTTGACGTGTTGGATTTCTTGTAAAATTGCAGTTTCAATGGTAACCGTATATCTCAAAACTGTCAAAATAGCTAAACCGTGTTATAACAAATAGAAAATGTATAAGATAGCTTAATACACACAACAAGCATTGTTTTATGCAAATATAATCTTAACCATTGATTCTGTATGAAACAAATGATAATCTGAACATATTTCTTAAATAAATGAGTTGTCCATGCTTCTAAACTGAACAAAAAATAAGAAAAATAAAATAATTAAAGATATTGAAAATTTTCTTTCATAGGATATTCTAACTTTTTTGTATGTTGTGTAAAATTGAATGACAAAGTCAAAAATAAAAATATATGTTGACGTGTTGGATTTTTCGAAAAATGGCAGTTTCCATGGTAACCGTATATCTCAAAACTGTCAAAATAGCCAAACTGTGTTATAAAAATGTATAAGACAGCTTATTACACACACAATAAGCATAATAATATACAAAACTTGCATTATCTAAGGGTTCTGTATAAAAAAAAAACGAAAATCTGAACATTTTTCTTTAAAAAAATGAGTTTTTCAGGCCTCTTACTTGAACAAAAAATTAGAAAAATAAACATAAATTCTGTAAATTATTAAAGCTATCAAAATATTTCTTTCATAGAATTTTCTACATGTTTGATATATCAAGTAAAATTTTATGGTGGATTCAAAAATAGAAATAAAAATATTTGTTGACGTGTTTTTTTTTTCTTTTTTTGTAAACGGGCAGTTTTTTAATTGTTACCGCATATGCCAATTGTTAAAATTACCACGCTTTCTAAAGAAATAGCAGTGTTATTACTAAATGGATTGTCATATATACAACAAAAACATGTTGTAATATAAAGTTCTTTTTTATCTCGTTTGATGTTATATGAAGTAAATGATACTGAATATGTTTTTAAAACAAGTTATATAAGGCCATATTATTTCTTCACTCGACTAATATACCTAAGCAAGTATTTAGAATTCTAACACTATCGACAAATTTTCTATATAGACAAAGAAGGCCTGACGCGTGCATTATTCTTCAACAATACACTCGTCGTTCTTATTACCTCCCTGTGCATGTCCAAACCGACACATTGACGGTGCCATTTTGTTTGGAAAAATCTGATAAATAGAAAACATTTTTTTGTCGAATTTTGTTGTGAAAACTATCTAAAATAATAGAAATGGTCTAACTTAGAACATGAATCCGAACACCAATATGTTAAATTTAGTCGTAAACGCTGTACAGACGTTTAAAGTGTTGTTAACGTGACGTCTCAATGTAGCGCCAAAAAGCACGTGCAAAACAATCAAACCAAGAACGCTATTTCAATGTCGCAAACGAGTAAAATTTCAAATTTATTTCACTATTAATACTTTGTATATTGCTTTAAAATAAAAAAAAAAAACAAAGTTTTATCAACGTTTGCAAAATTCGTTATTCTCAAAATGTTTCTACATAAGGTAGATTTAACGACAGCTTTTTTTTCAACCAACTAGAACAGCCTTTAAAGAACGTTTATATTGGAAACAATTTTAACCACCAAACATATAATCCAGCTATATAATAATCATTGTATTTTTTCTTGACGTGTTAGAATTGAAATAGATATTAATACTACGTGTATTGTAGTGTAATAATGCACGTTTTTCGTTCAAATGCTTTGTAATTAATCACTCAGAATTGATATCTATTTCCTAAATATACAAAGAAAAAAATGAAAATTGGAACATTTCTTAGATATTTGACTTTTCTACATTTTTAAAATATATCATTTTAAATTTTTTTTCCACACTTGTCTGCCAGCGATCAAGTGGCGACGCATTTTCGTCACTATACCACAAGTGGGTGGGGTAACGCGCGCAGAATCATCATCAATGCTGTCGTACTAATGCTAGGAGAAATCTTTTATCTGATGTTGTCTAAACGACCTCTTATTCTTTTGAACCGATCTCCTCCTGAACATTTAGAAATATTCATTCTTATTATTTACTTATTATTTGCTTATAGCCGAAATGTAAACAGTTATCCGAGTATTATTCAACTTGACCTTCTTTTTTTGAAGAGCAATTATCCGTGATTATCTTTCTTGGAAGCGCACAACGATGTGCACAAAAAACTACCGAAAACGTCTTTAATAGTACTAACGAGCAAATAATTTATTAACAAACATTGCTAGACAAGTACAAAAGCTGCCGTTTTTTAGTAAACATCACTATCCTATAGTTATACACATAATAATCTAAAATTATAAAAAGATAATGATTGAAAAGAAAATGTTTTTAGGAAATGTGTATAAATTGTATACATACATATCTTTTTTTTTCTTCAGATTTTAGAATCCAGTTAAAAATATTATGTTCACGTAACAACAATTTTAACTAAGGGCAAAAGTCTGAGACAACACGTTCCAGCAGCATTATCAACTGTCTTTCCCTTACGCATTAAAAGATATAGAAAAGAAAACATGTTTAAACACTATTCGCATGAGTAATAACAAAGATTGAGACGACAACAAATATATAGCAGTAAACAGAAATTGACATTAACTTTTAAGGAAAAAAATACAAATTTGCTATCAATTTTATTATTTTTAAACGAAACATTTTCCTGCATTTGCAAAACATGTATGTGACGATTTGAATGGCTGTTAAAATATGTCAATTATAAACAGATTTAAGTTATATAAGGTCCAATCAACGACGGCAATGTATATCCTTTTTCTTATTTCATCCATGGATCCGCGAAAATATATATTAAATATTTAACATATAAAGACGATAATCTCTTCATAAAAGTATGTATTAAGACTTAAAATATTTAAAAAATCTTCATGTTTAGAGTAGACGAATAACCTTCGATAAACAGTTATGACGCTTTTAAAATTTTCCTTTTTTGTTTGTTGTAAAAATTAAACAAATTATTTAAATATTATTTCCATAAAAGTATGCGGGATAATATTTTATTTTTTCGGGATAACGGAAGTTAAGGGAGAGACCCTCTCAGACTGTGTTGATAAGGCCCATGACTTGTTTGAAAACAAAATGAGCATTGAAAATGTTAAGGAGTCAATTACTTTGCAGCGTGCTCATAGAAGTAAGTACAATTCAAACAAAGTAACACCCGTTGTCGCAATATTTGCAGTCCCTCCCGAAAAGGAGTGCGTGCAAATGCGAGTAGGCTGACAAAACCATATTGTTGAAGTCAACAATACCCGAATGAAGTTGCAGAGATCAGGAGACTCCTTGTCCCGATCATATGTGTTGCAAACTTTTCATCAAAGGTGAATTATACAGGGAAGGCAAAAGTGCCGTATAGAGAAAACGGTATTAAAGGAAATAATAGGGGTAATATAAAGTGTTTACTTCTGAATGTGCAACAAAAATAGAATATCCCCAGTTTATAAAATTCTTTTATAAGTATGATTTGACATTTTAATTGAAACATTGACAAGTTAAATTCTAAATAAACTTTAATGATTATAAACAGTTTCATACAGGGGCACATAGGTGATTTGTTTGTGTGTGCATTCGTGCGTGCGCGTGCGTGCGTGCGTGTGTGTGTTTATTTAACTCGTGTGCACGAGATATTATGTTGTTACCACGAATTCCAAAGTCGTGCCCACGAGATAGTGGTGCGCAAGAAATACCATGTCGTGGCCACGAGTAACTAAATCGTGCACACGAGAAAATTCAGTCGTGAGCACGTGATATTATGCCGTGGGTACGTGTGATTTAATCTCAAGCATGGATAAAAAAATGATTCACAGTTATGAGATCAAAGAGATTTTTCAGTGGACGAGTATTTACCATGTGCACCGACTGATCATGATTCAAATTGCATTGGCAATCTTTGTTAGTTTTATGTAACAACGCATTTGACCTTCGTGTGGTAAATTGCCGTATTAGTGAAAATGCTAATTGTGAAAGTCCTTGTTTTACTGATAAATGTATTTTTGATAAATTTACTATTTCAAGGGGTGTATTCCAATCACGCGCATATAACATTTTTACGTCCGAACAGTGTATCAAGTTACAAAACAATACAAACGAGTTTTCCTTAAGTGGAACCCTCAGTACAAAAATGAATTATTGAATGAAATTTCACGCGACGTAGATGAATTATGCACTGACTTAAACGCGTATATTACAACAGCCAAAGTACGGATTCTTTGGTCAATTATGTATCTGAATTTATTACTAGCAGAGGAAGTACTTTGTAAAAGTAGAAAGTATTTTGAAATACATCGTTATATACCTAATTAAACACTTGTTGATGAAAGTCATTCTATGCTTTATCTACATGATTTAATGATTTAGGTAGGAGTTAAAAGAAAGCTGTAAAGAAGCGTTTTTACAATTCAATAAAGCAATACATTCTAAAAATAAACATTTTTTTTGTATAGTAAGAAAAAATATAAATG